CGGGCGGGACCGGACGAGACGGGCGGGGTCGCCGGGTCAGGAGACTAGACCGCTGGGCCACAGGCGGCCCTCGGGGAGCGATCCTCGAGAGCCGGCGGCATCCGGGCCTGGGCCCTGGGGGGCTGGACGGCTGGTCATCCACACCCCCGGGACATCCTGAAGCCGGCTCCACAGACGGTCGCACCTGAAACCGAGGTAGACAGAGTCAGGGACAGAACGCAACAAACTGAAGCTCAGGGTGATGCCCAAGGGAATTAGGGCGACCCCTGCCACGCCCAGGGGAGAACTGCTTCCTTCTCCAGCTGCGACAAACAAACAGGCACAGTTCTTCACTAACAGCTACATCAGTTGGCAAGGGCTTACTCTGTGCCAGGCACCATCCTAAGTGTTCTGAGGGGGCTAACGGATGACACTGCTATGAGGTGGCTGCTAGTATCCCCATTTTGGAGATGAAAAAAATCGAAGTATAGACGCTGAAGAAGTGGAGGAGCTGGAATCTGAACCCAGGACTATGGTCTCTGAGCCCCTGGTCTCAACCACACACTGACAAAACCCTTGAGGATCTGAATGAAGAAGGAGGGGCTCTGTATAGGCCATGTCCTGCCTCTCTGGCCTCCAGCCCCACCCCGTTCCTGCCTTCCTCATCTTCTCACATCACAGTCCCAACATCGTGGTCCCACCATCATGGCTTCCAATTTGTACAGAGCTCCACTAAATCTGTGACGGAAAACCATCCAGCCCACTCAGATCAAGGCATGTAAATCACTGCCGAGGTTGCATTTCTGTTAGTGCAGTGAATCGAGAGTTGTGTGTGTCTAAAATCACGTTCTGACTTTCTCATGCTTATCCCAAGTTTTACAGTAATTTTGCTAATTATAGAAAAGTGGCAGCTTTATTTTAAGGGACTGTTATATCAAAGGATATTCTTAAGTTTGATGAAACAGGTGCAAACCTGTTTTCCCTTTTCTAGGACTTGTGTCATAATCTTAACAGCTGATATAGAAATGTTTGTGTGTGCAAATCAGTGTGATGATCTTCTTTGCCATAATCTCAACAGTCAAATAGCTGATGATGTAAGGAAGACAAGACCACAAGGGTGAGGAAGGGGTGACCCTCTCTCATCCCAGAGTCAGAAGACCCATCACTACCACGATTCTGTCTCTTTAGGTCAGTCCCCTCGCAGGTAAAATAAGACCTCAGACTGTCCCCCTAGTGCCTTCTGGAGCCACCATGCTGAGATTCTAACTTCCTTCAAACCTCTACCTCCTTGGAGGGACATGGAAATTCTCCAGGGCTCATGTTCTGGGATTTGCTGGGCGGGTGTCTGCCTAGTCCCAGAGACGTGGGCTGTATTCAAGAATAGAAACTAGAAGCACATGGGTCCCATGCAGCCCCCTGACACTGATGTTACAGAACTATAATCCCCTCCCACTCCCAAAGAGAAAACTGGTTAACTCTGATATATCTATATCTGTATTCCTCTTCTATGCATATACTACTGTATGTATGAATTTATTTTACTGAAATGTGATCAAAGCATAAATTCTATTCTGCAACTTGTATTTTCCATTTCATAATTTATTATAGCCATCTTTCCATGTTAGAACATATAGATCTACTTCATCATTTTTAATGCCTGAGTAGTATTCTGTTGACTGGCTGAAGCATGATTTATTAGTCAACCTCCTCCTCTCCATCACTTCCCAGATGAGCAAGTCACAGCCCAGAGGGGCCAAAGCCATTCACAAGGAAACACAGAGGGTGATCTCGAATGATCAGTTCAAGAATTCTGGTATGAGAATGAACAGGAAGGTAGCCAAGTATGACATGGCCTCCCACAGCCGGTTTTAGACGCCCCAAATCCCCACACCCACATCTCCCACCACCCCCGACACACTGAGAAGTTGGAGGATGCCACTGTGATTGGCAGTATGCCCTACAAGACAGAGCTCCGCCCTGGGGACTGCTTTTGTCCTGGGCCCTGGAAACCTGCCTTGAGGCCTCTAACACACACCTCAGGGCCAAGAGGCCCCAGAAGCCCGTGCCCTGGGTTGCCACCTGCTGTCCTGGTGGTGTCGCACATAGGGGTCAGTGCCTTTTGGAGTAAAGCCACCATCATCCTGCCCCTCGGAGTAATTTAGTAAGAGAGATGGGAGGACTCAGCTTTCACTTTGCTAAGGGCAGTCCCTTAAAGAAAGAAGCCAGGACCTGACCCACCCCTGGTGGAGGAAAAAGGAAAATGGTGAGGTTTATATCTTCCCGTTTGGACCAGTCCCTCAGCCTCTGGGCTTCTCTGAGAGTCATTCTCACATGCCTACCATTTACAGTAAGTGGATCAGTTCAGACCCAGGCTATAATTCCTGTTCTGTCACACCTTGGCTATGGGACCTTATACAAACCTCTTCTCCTCTCTGTGCCCAGTGCCCTCACTTATATGTATGGAGCTTCAAAGAGAATTCAACAAGATAATCCTCAGCCCAGTGCCTGGAACATGGTTAGCTGTGTGACTGTTGTTGCCACTGCCCCAGAAGGCTGGCAAGAAGCCAGCAGCAGTCAGTAATACTGGCTGTGCTGCTACAGGAATAGATAGGGTGGCACAAACTTCTCCTCTCTGTGCCCAGTGCCCTCACCTATATGTATGGAGCTTCAAAGAGAATTCAACAAGATAATCCTCAGCCCAGTGCCTGGAACATGGTTAGCTGTGTGACTGTTGTTGCCACTGCCCCAGAAGGCTGGCAAGAAGCCAGCAGCAGTCAGTAATACTGGCTGTGCTGCTACAGGAATAGATAGGGTGGGGGATTCTAAGAGAATCCTTCTCCACCATCTGGATGTCAACCCCTGGAATTTCCTCTGGAAAGAGATACTGGTCCTTGAAGCCCCAGGGAAAGCCTAGCTGGCCTGGGCAGCTGGAGACACAACAGGTCAAGAAGCCTCTTCCATTTACCCCAGATGCCAAACCTTGAAAGATAGTATTTTGTGCGTGTGCCATGACATGTAAATGGCTGAAAACTCTAAGCCAGCCACATCCAAATTACAGATGAAGAGAGGAGACCTAAGACTAGGAGGGAGTCGCCCAAGGACACAGAGCCAGTAGTGGCAAAGCCCAGACTTTTCCATCAAAGGGTGGTTCTGCGGACGAGGAGAAAGTGGCTCAGAAACGGTAATGGGAAATGCAGGGAAACAGGATTTAATGTAGAGAAATACCATTTTCACAGGGCTCTGCAGGGACTCATAGACTCCCAAGCCAGGCTGCCTAGAATTAGCACCAGGTGGGGCTGTGAGGCCCCCACCTTTCAGAATCATCCCTCCCCCAACTAAACTCAAGTGCAATCTGAGGCCAGGGCTGAGGTATGGCTAGCATGGCTGGTAGCAGGCAGAAGGACTGTCCTCAGGGTCAGAGTCATCTTTCCCAGGCTGCCTTTTGCAACTAGTAAGACTCAAATGAAAAGCAATTTGAAACACATGAAAGAATTATGGCAGGAGATTTAGGTTTATGAGCTGTGCCAGGCGCTTTCACATTTAATCTTTATTACAACTCCAGAGATAGATGTTATCGTCTCCATTTTGTAGCTGTGGGAACAAGTTCATAGAAGTCAGGTAACTTGCGCAAAGTCACATAGCCAGTAGGTAGAGAGGCCAGAATTAGGAATCTACTACCTAAGAGCCAAAAATGCTAAGTCAGGCTTGCAGGGCTAAGAGCCAAGGAGCCTCAGAAATGTAGCCATGTGTGCCCCAGGCTCAAGAGACAGGGCACAGCCTGGCTGACATTCCAGCAGAGGAAATGTGACCCAGACAGCACTGAGGAAGGGAGGAGGGAAGGGGGTGTCTGTTGGCTCTGCCCCAGAGCTGGCTCTGTGACCTTGGGGAAACCACTTCACTGCTCTGAACCCCAGCTGCTGGGCACTGGCAGGGAAACAGAGAGAGATAACCCCTGACCGGCTTCTGAAGCAGGAAGTGAATCAAACCCGCCGAGCCTGTTAGAAATCTTGGAGGCTGACTCAAAGGCTCTCCTGAATTCACAGTTGTGACTGACCCGGGGACTGGGAAGCAGAAACCCCGTACCTGTCTTCCTGCAGGTCCCAGGCAGCCAGGCCTTCCACTTCCCCATAAAACAATCCAGGCCTGGCAGGGGACGCAAATGGCCAACCTTCACTCTAAGCTTGAGTAGACAGCCAAGGCCTGAGTCACTCCCTCCTGGCCCAGAGAGGTGGGCAAGCTGCCCCAATGTTATTCTCTTGACCTTGCCCAAGGTCACCCTAGCCAGTCTCCTGCAGAACAAGGCAGAGGCCACTTGGGTGATGTGAGGGCCCAGGAGCCAGAGTCCTGGGTTCCCATTAAGACTGTTTGACTTGGAGAAATTTTTCACTTTTCTGAACCTCGGCTTCCTTATTTGTAAAAATAGAGATAACACCGACCTGACAGGAATGCTGTGATAGAACTTATAAGGATGCCTGGAGCATAGTAAGCCCCCAATGAGACAGGTTTGCGTGGCCTCAGACATAGGCCTTGGCCCTTTTCCTAGACTACATCCACACCCTGAGTGATCTTATCCAGTCCCATGGCTTTAAATACCATCTACACGCAATACTGGCTCCCAAATTTCTCTTGCCCTAAGGTTTCCTGAGAACATGACCTTCAACTCCACACTTGCACATCTGACCTGCTGCCTTCCCTTGGATGTCCAGTACCAGCTCTAACATGACAGGTTGTCCACCTTCGTGATTTCTTCCAACCCCAACCTGCATCTCCTCTCCTCCATCTCTGTCGATGGCAACTCCATGTGGCTGA